ATGTTAAAAATATCCAAAAACATCAACAAATTATGCATATTGTGCATTATGCATTTACGCATGTTATATGATCATTTATTTATATGATTTAAAAATAATGCTCATTAATTTCAAATATAAGATTCCTGAAAAACATAGATGCACAAATGAGTATTTTTACATACATCATGTTTTATCATCAATAATTATGAAATGAATGATAAATATTTATGCCAAATGTCAAGGAAAGAGAAAGATTAAAATAATAAGAATGAAATTCAAAGGATCGTATGAAAGATCATATCATGTAATTTAAGTGGGCTGACTTTGATGACATGTGTAAGAAAAATTCAAATGAGAAGAAATTCTTGATTCTTGATGCTAAAGTGTTGGAATGGTACGACCTATATCAGGGAAATAAAAAAGATTTTCCAACTCTTGAAACAGAAGAGTTGAAATGATCTGACTTGTATCAAAGAAATAATGATAAAAAAGAGGTTTAAGACAATAAACATGACATGATATTTTGAAATAATTGGTCATTAAGAATAAACAAGAAAATGAAAATAAGAAAATTAATATCAATTTTATGTTCATATTATTATTTTTTATTGATTCTTCATATAAATGACTAATAATTTATGTATCGAAATAATATCTATTACATTGAGCTCATTATGCATATTTGAATGTTAATGCTTCTTATAGCTCACATGATCAGGATAACATTTTATATCATTTCCTTGTATATTTAACTTTATGTTAGAATTGCTTGTCTCACTGAGGTTGTAGGTCATTTGATGCTATACCATATTTTCATTTAAAAAAAAAAAAAAAGGCACATAGAATAATGGACAGGTGACTAATTTTGTTTTATACAGCGATGCTTTGGATGTATGATTTCAGTTTCAGATATTGCAAACGATGTGTTTGATGATGATGTAAGTAAAGGACTTTGGGTATGTAAGAACTTGTTTTAGAAGATTTGTTAGAAGCTCTGCATTTGAATTGATTATTTTATTCTTGTATGCTTCTACTTCGATGCTTATGATGGATGTATTAAACAATTGTTAAATGCCAAGTATACTTTCATAATGATAGAGCCAAACTACTTTTCACATATTTAATCCTGATGAGTAAATCAAGATGAGTGTGGTGAGATTTATGTCCATCTAAATTGTTCTTCTGTCATACCTCATGATTACCTAGAAGATGATAAAATTGGGGCGCAATACTAAGTCCCATCTCTTCCCACTTGAGATAACTAACTAAGATTATAACTGATTCGTTTAATGTCCATTTTAAAGCTGCTGGATGGTTGGATCTGATGATATTCCAATAGAGATGTGGAAATGCTTAGGAGATGAAGGAATTTCTTGGTTTAGTAAATTTTTAATACTGTTTTGAAGACTAAAAAGATATCATATCAGTGAAGAATGTGTGTTAATTCGTATTTTTAAGAATAAAGGTGATGCACAAGAGTGTTCGAATTATAGATGAATTAAGTTAATGTGTCATACTTTAAAACTATGGGAGCGAGTTATGGAGCGTAGGTTGCGGCGTGATACTAATGTTTCTCAAAATCAATTTGGATACATGTCGGGTAGGTCTACTATGAAAGTCATACATTTATTGAGAGGTTTGATGGACAAATATAGAGAGAATAAGGAGGATCTACATATGATATTTATTGATTTAGAGAAAGTATATGATAAAGTTCCACGAGAAGTGCTATGGAGAGTTCTTGAAAAGAAAGGAGTTTATAATGCTTATATTCAAATCATTAAAGATATATATGCAGGAGCAATTACTTGTGCTGAAACATAAGGTGGTTTGACCAAGTATTTTCCTATTTTGGTTGGATTACATCAGGGATCAGCCTTAAGCCCATATATATTTGCTTTAGTCATGGATGTTCTCACTAGACATTTGCAAGAAGATGTACCTTGGTGTATGCTTTTATCTTATGATATTCTTCTTGTTGATAAGACTAGAGAGGGAGTTGAAAGTAAACTTGAATTATGGAGGTCAACAGTTTTTTCCCCTTCATTTTCTTTAAAGCCTCTCTAACTTCGATTTTACTAATACGCCAATAAAAACAAAATATTTATTTTTATTTAGGGTGCTAAGGTCACTACAGTCAATCGTATTTTCACATTCTTCATTAAAAAGTTTAACAAAATATCTCATCCACCTTTGTTGAAAAGTTTTTTTTGATCTTCATCCTTAATACACTTCACTTGAACTAAATCCTTACTACTCCTATGTCTTTGTTTGGCAAACAATTATTAGAAAGACTGGCAAAATAAAATATCCACAAATTGGTTGATATATTGATCCCTCCACGAGGGAGGGCAATCTGACAAGCATGTCATATTAATATAATAAGACATCATGTGTTTTCCTTGATAACGAAGGGAGCCATAAGAATATATACAATGATATGCAATAATAACTTCTCACAAATAATATTTGCACACCTATTCGATCTCATCTCATAGACAATACTCGAGTGCTCCTCTCATGCAATCCCTTCTAACTCCTCATTCACGTTGTCAGCCATCTCCTTCTTAGCCACCATTGTTGTCATTGCCTCCTCCTCGCCAAGTTCTCTTCCCCTACAAGGAACTCCTCTTCCTTCATCACATCTCTTCTCCAACCGGTGAGAATCCCTGAACACTTTCCTTCCCCTCCCCCCCCCCCCCCCTAAACCTAATTTTCTTACTTTGTTTCTTTAGAATTTTTTGTTTAATGTAACAATCATATGTCTCAATTTTTTTTAAAATATAAAAATTTCTTTCTAGAGCATTAAAAATTTTGTTAGAGGTAAGAAAACAAACAAAATGGGAAATAAAAATAACCCAGCATGGAGGCATAAAGTACAAGTCGATATTGGAGGAAATGATAAGATATGTGTTTATCTAAAATACAACTATTGTGATTTTTTGTTTAATTGAACATTTTTTAATATAAAATTTCACTCTAGAGTTTTACAAAAAATTGTTAGAGGTAAGAAAACAAACAAAATGGGAAATAAAATAATCCGGCATGGAGTACAAGACAATATTGGAGTGAATGATAAGACATGTATTTATCTAAAATACAACTATTGCAACAGAAAATTTGTCAAAGGGTATGTTACAAGAATAAAGAGCACATTTCTTGCTCTCAAAAAAATGCCGCACAACATGCCAAGATGTCTGAGGCATTGAGTGTTTGAATAACACTTTTATTTGCGCAATTTGTTACTTGATACTTTGTGAAATTGTTTTATTTTTGGGTGTGTTGGGATGTTAATGTGTTACATTCTGACTATTGTTATTGATGCAATTATTGCTTTTCAAAGTGATAAACTCCTAGACATCTAAGATGTTTTAATCACCACATGCTTCATAAATTACTGCTAAAATTGCTTAAACAAGTAACGATATTCAGGATTCCAATACCTTGCACGAGAGACCACCGCTATGCAACCGTGCTGCCACCGCAGAAGCCCATTTCCCAAACGCTGCAGTCAACCCTTCAGGATTCGTATCAGTCTTGCCATCCAAAGGAGGCTCCCCAAGCTTGGACACCGCAAAATAAGCAAGAACTTGATTCGCATCTCCGAGCCCTCTACTCTCAAACCAAGGATCAAGCATTCCATTCTGGAAAAACACCAAATCTGCTAGAAATTTATACCCATACCATTCTTAAACTATTGGAAACTAAATAAGATACTAGAATTAAACAGGGTTGGGATTACCGCTCCATCGAGAGGAAGGAGTGGCCTCCAGAACGGCGTCGAGATCGTCGTTCCGAGTGCAGACGAAGATGGGACCGTCGAAGTCAAAGGGAACCTGCTGTCCACGACCGATGAGGACATCACGGCCGTCTCCCATTCCCTGCAGAGCCCTACCAACCCTCCCGCCGCCAACTATGATCGCTGGAGTGATGGTGGTGCTGGTGGTCGCCATCGTGGCTGAACACCTAACCGATATCCTACTCCTAGAGCTGGAAGAGAACGTGAAAGAGAAGCGGAAGTAGCGGACGGGGAAGAGGGCGACAGGGCTAGCCATTTTGAACGGCGACTGGAGGAGCCATTAGGGCAGCGCTCGGATAGTTAATTATTCCGTCAAATTTGAGCCACTCCTTCGGCGCGGGCTTTATCTTCCGGCGGAATTCCCTCCATTAAAACGAACAATTATTGCTTCCTCTGACCCGACGTAGAATACCATGCAAATATGGCGTTGTACCCAGGTTTTTTACAACCGGATATAACTCAGTATTTGCTCAGAATTTGTTCGGTATTGTTAGAAAAAACTCGGTACAATTCAGTACAACTCAGTATTTGCTCAAGATTTGCTCGGTATTGTTAGAGATTTGCTCGGTATTGTTAGGTATTTGCTCGGTATTTCTAGAGAAAACTAGGTACAACTCGGTATTGCTAGGTATTTGAAATATATCCAAAAGGTGATAGGATGTTGTTCGGCTCGTCAAGGATTTAAAAAAACGCACGTGCGAGAATCCAAAAAACAGCGGGTCGGGTCGGCGACTTTTCTTCATGGTACGTGGCGCTAAAACATTGGTGGCCGAACGTAGAGGAGCGTATGTTCACCGGACTGAATAAAAGTTCCATTAAAATGGGGGTCATTCCAAGGAATAACAAATTTGTCTGCGACAAATTATTTTTAATATAATAAAATTACTAAATAAATACATCTAAATTATTACAAATAATATTAAGACATTCCCAAAAAAAAATTAAGTTATTAGATATTTATAATATATTTATAATAATTATACTTATAAATATTTAATAATTTATTTATAATTATATAATAATTTAATCATATTATCTAACAATTTAATTATATTGGGATAATACATGGCGCATGAAATCAGTGACATATGACATAAAATTAATCATGATTAACTCTTAGATTTAAATATTGCCTAAGTTTGTTTTTTTAGATAAATTATTCTAACCACCCACTTAAATAATGATGTCTTATTGCATATAATTATAGTTCCCGATGAAGCATCTTCCTGCAATTAAGAGGAAAGCTGTAGCAATGGAACAATAAAACTAGAAAACAAGATAACTAAAACTGTATATATCATTTTATAAGGGTTCTTCTGCTCTAAAACAGATTATATCAGCTCAAAGCCAAAAGCATGATTACTAAAACTATTATTGTGCTAGAAGGTACAGTGTCTAACCACAAAAAATAAAAAAAAGGTAAAAACGGTTAGTGAAGCTAGTGGGCAATGAAACGTTATCACGAATCCTGCCAGCTCAGCTCCAAGTGGTCCTCATCGGGTCTCTCTTGCTTCAGAAGAACTCATCTCGGATGAATGTATTGTCGTGGTTGCACCGTTAGGAGGGTGATACGGGTAGATGTCAGCAATATTAAAAGTAGCGGAGGTTGAAATATCTTTAGGGAGATCAATGATATAAGCATTGCCATTGATCTTTCGTGAAACCGAGAAAGGACCAAACTTTTTGGGTTGTAACTTTGGGCATGAGCCAGTAGGGAATTTGTCCTTGCGATACCTCAGCATAACCAAATCGAACTACAAAGTTGAATTTATGTAAAAAATAACCCATTTCGCATACATCTAGTTGATAGTCTTTTGGCTATTTAAATAATGCAAGGATCCGTGATCACTACACAATACGAAATCTTGATGAAGGAGATAATGCTCCCATTGCTTTAGCGCTCTTACTACCGTGTAGAGTTCTTGGTCATAAACTGTCCACTTTTGGCGGAGTAGACTTAGCTTTTCGCTAAAGTATTCAATAGGTTTGTCCTCTTGATAGAGAGCAGCTCCGACTCCAATCCCAGATGCATCTGTGTCGACTTAGAAAGCTTTTTCAAAATTCAACAATGCCAAAACAAGAGCATTGCAAAGGGCTGACTTCACCTGCAGCTATCTTACGCGGATCCACTTGAATCCCTTCGTGGGAGATAATAAAGCCCAGGAAATGAACGGATGGGGTCGTGAACTCGCATTTTAACCAATTTAAATAAAGCTTATGTGCGTACAGTGCTAATAATAATTACGTAAGATGTTGCATATGCTCATCCGCAGAAGAACTATAAACAAGAATATCATCAAAATATGATACACAAAATTTACCCGAAAATGGTTGGAGGACTTCTACCGTTAATCTCATGAAAGTGGACGGAGCGTTGCATAAACTGAATGTCATAATTCTCCATTCATAAAGACCCTCCCACATCTTGAAGGCCGCCTTCCTTTCGTCACCGGATCTGATGCGTAATTGATGATATCCAGTGCACAAGTCTATTTATGAGAACACTACTGACCCGTGGAGTTTATCTAATAAGTCTGAAATTTGGGGCACTGGAAAATGATACTACATTGTGATTTTGTTGATGGCCCTGCTGTTAATACACAATCTCCATTGTCCATCCTTTTTGGGAACTATGAGAGCAGGTACAGCACAAGGGGCTCAGGCTATGCTGGATAAGCTGTCGACTGAGGAGATCTTCCATAATTTCTTGCAGGATTTTGTGTTCTTTTGGGCTCATCTGGTAATGGGCCAAATTATGTAGCGACGCTCCGGGAACAAAATTGATTTGATGTTGTACCGTACGAAGGGGGAGGGGGGGGGGGGGGGGGTGGACCGGGTAAATTAGTTATTTTAAAAAAAAAATAACAAACAAAAAGTTAAAATTCCTTGATGCATAAGTAAAACTAATTTTACAATAACAAAAATTAAATATTTCAAACACATATTAAAACATAATAAAATACATAAATTAAAATGCAAAAAAATTAATAAAAAGAACACACCAAAATTTATAGTGGTTTGGTCAACCTAAACTATATCCACTCCATAAAGACTCCCTCTCCAAGTATTGCACTAAACATTAGTGACATTAAATATTGCTCCTGCAGTCATAGGTGGCATTAGAATCAAACTGCCACGATCTCCCCAAGATGATGTGGCAAACGTCCATGTCTAGGACATCGTAGACGACATCACACATATAATACTTACATATATAAAAGTTCATTGCACAAGTCTCCGCAACAGTGATCTCCATACCACACTTGACCCAGCTAATTTTGTACGGATGTGATTTTTTTTTTTGTAGTTTTTTTACTGTAGAGCGTGTACCACAGAACGTGAGATCACATTCTCTGTACACCCTCTATCAATCAATAACTCGCACACCTTTCCTTCAATCGTACATCTTGTCCGAAAATAGTACATTTCGCTGTGAAGGCACAGGGTGTCTAGGAGCTAGCAACGGATTTCAAGGATGCACACAACTGGCTCTCCCACATCTACACAAACATCTTCAGTAATCTTATCATCATAGGGACAAATTTTTGAACCTTCGCCCTCGTCAGAATTGCTCCCTCAATCATCTGAAGTGTATGTCTATTGGGACATTCATTTGATTTGTGAATGAGCTGAAAACATCTAAAACACTTCAGTGTGTGGGCTTGCTGTAGGGGTTCTCCTTTACTGGTGCCTTGGCCTTGGCAGGTAATCTCTGTTCCGCGGGATTGGAGCTAACGGCGGGAACCTGGCTTGGCTGCAATTTTGTCGTTGGCATAGCGGTTCTCGGATTATCAACATGGGATTCCTGTGTGAAAGGTCTTCGGCTATAATAACTTCGAGAATGACGTTGCAATTGCATTTCCACCTTCAACGTGAAATTGATAGCCTGGGATAAAGACCAAATAGAGTTCAACTCCACCTTCTCTTGAATTTGTTCTTGAAGTCCCCCAATAAATCTTGCAACTAACTGATTTCAGTTTCTTGGAGATTGTTACGAGCACTGAGTCTATAAAACTCCTCAGTATACTCATTCACTGTCCGGGATCCTTGGACACAATTGTGAAGATCGCTTTGCTCCAGGATCGTCCGGGACGAAGTTGGATCGTTCCGGGTAGACCTGTCAAAAACGGGTCACGGGTCGGGTTTGGGTCCAACCCGAAATTGACCCGATACTATTCAACCCGACCCGACCCGACCCGTTTTTGCAAACGGGTCGGTTTTCCGAACCCGAACCCGACCCGCTTCGGGTCCGGGTCAACCCGACCCGACCCGCTTCGGGTATATTTAATTAAATTTTTTTTATTTAATTCATTTTATTTAAATTTAAATCAAATTAAGGGTAGATTTACTTCAATTAATTTAAAATAAATCAAGATTAATTTAATTTGGGCAATAATATTTATAATTTTTTGAAATATTATTTACTTATTTCATAAAAAATCATTAGAATCCTCCAAAATTAATTAAAAACGGGTCAAACCGGGTCAATTTCGGGTTTCCGGGTCAACCCGAACCCGACCCGGTTTTACAAACGGGTCGAAATCTCTAACCCGGGTTCGGGTTGACCCGAACCCGAAATTTTTGGGTCGGGTTCGGGTCGGGTTTTCAGGTCGGGTCCAATATTGACAGGTCTA